TTCATAGTATGATCAACTTGCTGAAATCAGATTACTTTATTCCTCTAATTAAAATTCTCTAATGGATTCCTCTAATTAAAATTCTCTAGTGGATTCCCCATTGCACTTGGGAAAAATCCCATCCTTTTACCACAGTCATCAGGGCTCTTGCAGAACTGGCCTCTAACCTCCTCTTGGACCAGCTACCCCTTGTTTGCCGTGCCGCACGTCCAGCTCATTCCCACTCTAAGTCTCGGCCCTTGCCGCCCCTAATGGCTAAAGTGCTCTGCCCCAGATTACATGCTGGAAGCTTCATATCTCAGCTCAGATGTCACTTTCTCAGAGAGGCCTTCCCTCACCATCTGATCTAACATCCTGCCCTTCCCCTCCCCACCTGCCATCGTATAACCTCAGTATATTGTCTTTCAAAACATAGCAACTGCAATTACTTTACTCATTTGTTGCCATGATTATTGTTTCCTCCTCATGGAAGTAGACCTGACTAGTTCGCTTGACTATCTTCGTCACTTTGTAGCCCTTGTGTCTGGAAGAGCACCTGGAACATAAAGTCACTAGGACTTCAGTGGATGGATTAATGGGCAGCATTCATGATTTAGATTTCCAAATTCTTTGTGGGATTTTTGATACTACTCGCTGTGACCAGCTCCTCAGGGTGATACACTTGCTCTGACAAACTCTTTCTCCTGGTGTATAGTTAAGATAGTCTGGAATCATTCTATTCATTACCGCTTAACTTTATGGACAAGAGAGAACTTACGGAAAATGGGGTCTAGAGAGACAGCTATTTCTGGAGTGGTTCAACCTGAAAAGACTTCTTACTTACTTCCTTTTAGTTTTCTACATACATAGGGGGTGTTACAAAAGAGCAGTGCTCAAATTTCAATTCTCATCCTTACCAGCGGAAGGTTTGGAAGAAATTCAACCTTTCTGACTTTGCATTCTCATGTGTTGCCTGCCTGATTTTTATCTGAAGGGCCAAGTGAGATAATGTGGCTGCAAGGCTCTGAAACCATTTTATTGCTATTTGGATGTAAGATATGAGTGTTTACACAGGAGCATCTTGAATAATCTATCTGTTGACTCCTTTCTTCCTCATCAGGTGATCATTTTTTACTTCATTTTGTATTTGGAGTATTCAATGCAATAGGTATTCAATACATCATCCAATGAATGAATGAGCGAACTCTATTATCATTCCTTTCTTTCTCTTGGTCAACTCCTATCTCCTTATTGTAAACTTTATTGACTTTGTATTTATTTTTCACTCTTTTCTGGTAAGCTATTGGCCATTGAATAAAAACAGTTTCATAGGAACATCTCCCATTTAAAGTGATTTTAGTGTGACTTTCTGCTGTTATTGTCACTGCACGTGGTCTGGACATGGGTTTTAGCATCCTAGAGTGCTGTAAGGGAGAGAGGGAATCTGCCCCATAAACAACGTGAAAGGCACAGATCTACTACTGGCCATGGCCTTCTAGGGTGTAGACTCATAATATCTGAGACTCTTTATTAATCACAACCCTAGCCCACTCCAATCTATGTGCTGTAACCATTGAGGAAACTGAAGTCAAGACCTTAGTGAATCATGTCCTAGGCTGTTGGGCAATACTTTTATTTTGGGATTTGGATTATTTGTAGATTGCCCTTTTTTAGTAAAATGAGCGTCACTGTTTCTTTCCATTTTGCAAGAAAAACCTACTGGCTATTTAGCCAGAAGGCAAATATTTTCATTTTGAATTGCTTTCTGGACATTTTTCCAACAGTTTGATTTGAAGCTGTGAAACACATTATTCTTCTTTCCTCCTCCCACCTCCCCTCCCCCATTTCCTCTGAGGTAGATCAAAACCAATGCTTCAAAAAATAAAGCCAGTATTCTGTGATTGCTTCTTTACCATATGAAAGGATCAGAGAAACTGAAATAAATGCTTGTTTGGATCCAAAATCCTGCAGTCAAGGAAAGTCTGCCAGCCAATCAGGTATCCCAGAATATCTTGCCTTAAGGCCAGCCTGCCCAGGGACTGGCATTGAAGTATGTCTGGGCTTTGGTATTTTCTGTGTAGCTTAAAATGCTATCTTTGGGCACATTTATTGGGCTGCATAAGAAATATTGTACAATCTGCATAGTGATGAAGTTACGTATGTCTTAAACATGCTCTCCAGTCATAGAATATTCCTTTTGCAGACCTTTGGATCCCTTAGGTTGTTTTTAAATTTAATTTTAATTTTCTATTTTTCCATCTGGATGCACTTTCCAGTCTCCATTACTTTTACTAAAATTTTCCAGCTTGTTTGCTTCTTTAACCACTGAAAACCTTACCTCCGAACCTATGCCCTTTACACAATAGCGCGCGCGCGCGCGCGCGCACACACACACACACACACACACACACTTTCAAAAACAAATGTTAAAAACCTTAAATTTAAGAGTTTAATTTCATTTCCAGCTGTAATTTACTGTCAGTAGCCTGGATGTCCTTAATTTTAGTCATTTCCACTCCTGCTTGCTTCAAGTCAAGGCACTCAAATCCCGACTGACTCATCGTCTAGGTATTTAGTAAATTTGTATCTTTCCTTTTTATTTTGGTGACATTGCTTAGGTATGCCCTATCATTCTTGACATAGCTGATAATGAGACGCCTTCAAGAGACATTTTTCTTACTTGTTAATAACAGCAAGTAATAGCAGTTGAATTAAAAAAAAAGAATAAAAGACAAATAAAAATAATTTCAAAAAGGATCATGATTGGGGTGCCTGGGTGGCTTAGTCGGTTGAGCGTCCGACTTTCGCTTAGGTCACGATCTCGCGGTTCGTGGGTTCGAGCCCCGCGTCGGGGTCTGTGCTGACTGCCAGCTCAGAGCCTGGAGCCTGTTTCAGTCTGTGACTCCCTCTCTCTCTGACCCTCCCCTGCTCACACTGTCTCTCTCTCTCTCTCCTAGAAATAAAAAAAAAAAAAAAAAAAAAAAAAACCAAAAAGGATCATGATGAACAAAACGGCAATGAATTGTTAATTTTCAGAAATAGGTTGAGGATTCATATTTCAGATTCCTCAAAAGTAGGTGAACTGCTTTCTTCTCACTTTTTCCATAGTGTCCTTTAAGTAGAGGATGAAGGATGCTTTGCAGAGGTGAATAAAATTCACTGCCCTATCATTACGAAGGCTGACTCAAACTTTCGAATGTTTTGAGTGGTTGGAAAAAATAAACCCAAGATGATTTTACGAGTTTTTTAAAAAAAATTATTAATGTTTTATTTATTTCTGAGAGAGAGAGAGAGAGAGCGCGTGAGCAGAGGAGGGTCAGAGAGAGAGGGAGACACAGAATCTGAAGCAGGCTTTAGGCTCTGAGCTAGCTGTCAGCACAGAGCCTGACACAGAGCTCGAACCCATGAACCGTGAGATCATGACCTGAGCCGAAGTCGGATGCTTAATGGACTGAGCCACTCAGGTGCCCCGATTTTATGAATTTTAAAAGTGTTGTATGAACCTTTGGGAAAGATCCAACTGGACCAAACCTGCTTTATCTTTCCTGGATGCATACTGTACACTGGGAACTTAAAGGCTTTGATAAGTCCCGTACTAAGGAATCTTGTTTAATTTGGTATTTCCCACACTTATTAGACTATGGAATTCTCTTCTCACAGAATAAGAATGAACTCTTACAGAAAATGTCCACATAACACAGTTAAAGAAAGGCTCTGATCATTCTAAAAGCAGAGGGTGGGTGTATGGGGCATTGCCTTTGCCATGTGATCAGCAAGAAAGAACCAGGAAAAGTGGCCAAGTTCAGTGGCAACCAGCTTGCACCTAGGGATGAAAGCACAAGATGTGGCCTTGAGTGGAGAGCCTCTGCTCACAGTGAGAACAAGACCGAGGGAGAGAAAAGCTGCTGAGATGTTCCATGTGACCCTGAGCAGGCACGCAGAAAGGTTGCTCCTTCTGGTAAGCTGAGTTTTTCCAACTTGGCATGTTTGAATCATGCAGTTGTTTTATGTTGCCTCAAAGACAATTGACTGTGTTTCTTTTATTCGACGTATATAGAAGAAAACAACAGTCTTGAGACATTAATTCAATAATTACTCAGCATATCCCTGGTGAGTGCTCATAACCATATTTTTAAAACAGGTTCAAAGTATTTGTCATTGTTTTCATTTTAAACCACGTCAGTTAGATTTCCTACAAATTACACATGTGCGCATGCACGTGCATGCATCATGTGCGGGCACACACACACACACACACACACACCACTAACACCCACATGTCTGTTTCTCATTCTGTGGTGACATGTAATGAAAGGTTATTGTAAACCAGGTCTACATAAGACAGCTGCCCTGCAGATGTTCCAGAACTATATTAAATGCTCTACACATTAATATTGGCTTCTAGGGGTCTGAAGCTCTCACCCCAACCCAAGTACTTTAACTTCTCATTCCTCTTCCATTTACTTTCAAACTGAATGATTAAGGGACAATATGAAAAACACATGTAAAATGCCCATTGCGTTTTCTTTTCTTTTCCCTTTCTTTTTCATACATAAAAACAATGGGGGAAAGCCAATGCACAGATATTGGGGCCAACGAGTGGTTTACTTTGAAGCTTACCAGGGACACTAGGGAAATTTGCCAGTACATGGATTGCGTTTGAACCGTCAGATCAAAGAAAGAAATATGGAGTGTCAGAGGCTGGCATCTCCTGAGTTTGGATGTCTAAAGTGCAGTGTCCAGAGCAATTTTCATTCCTTGTCCATGTTGCATTTTGTGTCACTCTTCTCTTCCAAAAAGTCCTTGAAACGAAAAGGCACATGTTCAGTGTGGACAAAGATGTACACCATCATCACATTTTAAAAATGGAATTGTCAAGTAGCCTTGGATTTAGATTTCATTTGGGGATCTACTGATCCCCAGGAAGGTTTAAATCCTTGGTAGTGAAGTATTTCATTTCCTTTATCCTTTCTAAGGACATTTCATTTAACTTCTAATTATTGTTTTCCTTATTTTTCCAGGGTCCCCAAAGGAAGGATTTTTTATAACCTTACCCTTCTTGGGAACAATGGGGGAAGATCAGTAAGGCTCCCTGGTGGAACTGGACATGAGAATTAGGCTGATACACGGTGGCCTAGACTTTGCACCTAGTAAGACATTATACCCACAGGATAATTAGGGGATCTGTGGCAAGCCTGTGATCTTCTGAAGTTCCAAGTGGAGGCATGGAGTGCCCCTGATGGCAGAATTTCATGGAGAATGTCATTGATGTTTGTACACCAAACTCAAAACCTAGCAGGTAGTCTGGGTGTGATAAGACAGAGAAAAAAGATGGTGCCTTGATCATCTATGATCTTCTGGCCTTCTCACAGACCCCAGAGCCACAAATGAGCAAAGCCACTTCATTTTGCCTTCCACTGACCAGTCCTCTCTGCTATTGCTCTTCAAAGATGCTGGGAATCTTCTGTCTGGTAAAAAAAAAAAAAAAAAAAGGTGGATGGTACATATGCTTCTGATTTGGATTCTCATAATAACATTCCCTAAGATTTCCAAAAGGCCAACACCTTGAAAAAGCATATTAAATGGCTTAGTGTTTGTTTTTCGAATGTTTTAAATGCTGCATGCAACTTTGTGTGGTTCTGGGTATGCATTTAGCATTTAGTTAGAAGTCAGTGCAGTGAGTTTTTCCCACTTTATTTTCTACAAAATGGTTTAGAAGTGGACAGCTGTGTCTGTGGAGCTGGGGTGACTTTCCAAAAGGGAACATACAGCCAAGGTTTTCTTTCTTCTTGAGCACCAGGGCGAAGGTTGGCCTTACACCTATAAGTTGTGACAAGTCCATTTCTGGCTGTGACAAGTCCCAGAATATCATTTCCTCTTGTAGTTCGTGATTTTATCACCCCTCAGCTGGAGTCACTCATTCTATTACCGTCTTAGATTTCAGTTTCCATAATGCGCCCATCTGATTTCAGCATTACTTTTCTTGTTCCTGGGAAGAAAACGCCAAATTATTTGTTTAACCCCTTGAGTCATCAGTTCATCAATAGGCCGGGCTCTGTACTTCAGGGTAGCTCAACAAACAGTTTTACCACTGACCACAGAGGTGGATAGAATAATCCTTTTCTGCAAAGAGCACAGGGGATGATCCAAGTCAGGGCATATGGGGAATGATTTCCATTGCCATCTGCATTTTGCAGAGGCTCCTGTAACCACCAGACCGCTAGGTCCTCTCGTTCACCCTATCAGTTCCAAATAGAGTGGACTTCACACACACACAAATATGTATCTACTTGAACAAAGACATGGTTTATGCTCTTCTCTTCACATCCTTGGATCATAGGCATTAAAATATTCTTCTTTTCTGCCTAAGATCTTTTACTTTAAAATTTTAAAAAGCTCACATTGTGTCAGCATGGTCTTCTTATGTCTGTTCACTACTGTTGTTGTTGTTTAAGAAGTAAACAGAAAACTTCCTCCCCACCCAGTTCGATCTCCTTGCTTTGTTAAATGGGTGTTATTACCCTTTTCACTAGGGGTCATTTAAATTAATCCTCAAAGGTTTGGATTAAAATTAACTAATATATATGTTAAAAGTCATGTCTATATACAGATCTGTTTGACTATTTTGACCAAACATGAAACTACAAGTAAATGGAATGAAGGTTTGGGACTCTCTTACCAACCAGTTATTTGGGGATGTGTATCTTATTAAATGATTTGGGTGAAACCTGTACTTTTCTGCCAGGTATTTTATGTTCCATATATAAATGAACAAGCTATAAGACTAATAAGGAAATTCAACTGAAAATAATTATACATTTTTTTTCAGTGACTGAGAACCATGGTATTGTGGAAAGTTTTTGTTGTACTTAGTTCTTCTCATTTGTGTGTGTGTGTGTGTGTGTGTGTGTGTGTTTCTGAAGGCCTAACTCTGATGGATATTCTATTCATGAGTACTCCACATGTTGTTAATTGAGTCCTTTGAAATTCCTTCTCATTTTGTGACAATTCTGACTTCTACTGGTGGTGGCTGACATTGTGAGAAGAATAAGTTGTACATATAGTCTTTAGATTGTACCTGCGTGCATTCTAACCTGCCAAATTATGAAAGAACAAGAGGAAACCACAGCGAGGAGAGAAGATTATTGGAAAGTTTTTGCCTCCAGCTACCTCTGCAGAGTGTCACCCAGGTGCCTTTCTGACATGGGGTTTTAAGTGATGCTTCATTTGTCAGTGTGGATATCTTCAGAATGAGCATCCTCTCAGAATTCCTGGAAGAACAGCATCTTTTTTACTTACTGTTTCCTTGGGAGGTTCTAGAAGATAGGATGGGAGACCATGCTGATTTGGAATGGAAAAGAGGCCAGTATTTATTATATCAACACCTGAGGATTCAACCTATAGGCTGCCTGCTGTAACCTCAGGAGGCTGAGCAACTGTGTATTTAATAATATCGAGGACTTTGTGACTTACAAAAAACCAGTGGAAAGCAAGGTCTGGAATCAATGTGCATCCACCCTTCCCTGGTTTATAAGACTCTAGGGAGACAGATTTGTGCTTTGTCATTTCTGAATCATGCAGGATGCTTAATAGTGAAACAATGGCGCTACTTGTAAACTCAGCAGCTAATAATTACTGAGTGTTTGCTCTAAACCAAGCAATACACTAAGCACTTCATAAACATTACCTTATTTAACCTTGATTATGATTCTACAGTGTTATAATGAGTATTCTCACCTTATTGACAAAAGAATGTAGGCTTAAGGTTTATATAACTTGCCCAGGGTGACATAGATGATACAGCAGGTTGAGTAGTGGTCCCCAAAAGATATGTTCAATTCCTAATCCCTAGTGCTTGTGAATGTGGCCTTATTTAGAAATAGGGTCTTTGCAGATATCATTAAGATAGGAATCTTGAGATTTCCTGGATTTAGGGTGGGTCCTAAATCCAATGATAGGTCTCCTTGTGGAAGAAAGGAGAGGGAGATTTGCAACACACACCGAGATGACCATATGAAGATGGAGGCGGAGATTGGAGTGACACACCTACAAAACAAGCAACATCAGAGATTGTTGGCCCCCACTAGAAGCTAGGAGAAAGGCATGGAATGGATTTTCCCTCAGCCTCCAGAAGCAACCAACCCTGCCAATACCTTGATTTCAGACTTCTGGCCTCCAGAAGTATGAGAGAATAATTTATGTTGTTTGAAGCCACCCAGTTTGCGGTCATTTGTTACAGCGACTCTAAGAAACTAATACAGCTTGTCAGTGATGGAAACAACATTAAACACCAAACATCAAAGCCTATGTTTTGAGCCCTATTCCTTACAGATCCACTGTATTGACTAGGCCGATGCCATGTGTCTAATAAATGTTTAATAAATGTTGCTGGGTTTAAATGTATTTGAACAAAACAGATGGCTGAATTTTGATTCTTCTCATTTCTTTGGAAAAATGTCAGTGAAAGAAAGCATTTGGAGTACGAATGGCTGTATTTTTTTGGTAGTAGCCATTTCGAACAATGTGAACAGTTTCCTATATGATTTGCCTTTTGTTTTCATGAATAGCAAACCATTATAATCTCAGAGAGTTAGCATTTTAGGTCCATTGATCAGACACTTGTTAAAAAAAACCTCCTGACATGATAGAGGCAGTCCCTCAGATGAACAACTCCCGAAAATATCTTCCAAAATCACTTACTTTTCTTATCTTTCATCTGTGGAGATGGTTATGAGCATCTCATTTTAAGTAGGACCACAGTTTGCTCTGCACAAGTATAAAGGGATAGAGTAAGTTAATAGGGAAGTGAACTTGGGGAAGTGGGAGGGCAGAATTTCAGGCATCACCCACAACAAGAGGTCAAATGCGGGAGGAGAGAGAATTACCAGGAAAATGGCTGATGAAAAAACACAACATTTTGCTTGTGGTACTGTTTAGAGTAAAATAATTGACTTCAACTTTTCTGCCATAAATGATTTCTCTGAGAGAGAAGATTTTAAAGGATTAGACCAGAGGCATGGATTGCTCTCCTTCTCAATTTCCACTGGAGTTTGGTTTTGGTAAGAAGCATTCTTTTCCTATGCCCTTTGTCAACACCATTCAGTGGCTGTGATCATCAGGCAGAAAGGTCACACCACAAACTGTCTAACCCCTGAGAGTGCTGGCAACATCTCACCCCAGTGAAGACTCAAATCTCATTCTGCTGGAACCAATGGCTTTTTCAATGTTGCACTGAAATGGCAGAACTTTTGTATGGCTTTTTCCCCCACACCATTTTTACCCTTTTTGTAAAATGTATTCCTTCCTGGAACTCCATAAGCTTGGCATTATTATCCCTATTTTTCAGCTGAGGAATTGAGTCTTGGGGAGGTTAAGTGGCCTGCCCCAGATCACATGGCTCTCAAAGAATCCTAGGACGTCTCGGGATATTCCTTGATCTGTTTCTAAGGGGAGGAGTGATTGGGAGTTGAGGACCTTTGCTTCACCACCCTGCAGGCCATTCCAGGCCAGTGTAAGTCTGGTGCCATGTCTGACAACTAGCTGTAGAAATGCTTTAAGAGTTGGATGCTACAGTAGACTAAAAGCACAGGAAAGGAAAATGGATTAAATATCCATTCCATTCAAGGAGAGTTATATGTGTCTAGTTATAGAAAATGCCCCGGAGCCGCCAAGGTTTCGTTTTTTGGGGTTGTTTTTTTTTCCTCCTCATCTCCTTGGGGGAAGATAAACCAGAGAATTTTTTAAAATACTGTTGACATTGTTAAATTCTAAACCTCCCTCTGCTCCTACCAGTAACTTTCCAATAGCTAAACAGAAGCAATTTAGGCATAGTACACAAGACAAAGTAAACCCACTAAGATTCAGTTGTCTGTTTTCCCAGGTGTTAAAGTGCATATTTCCAGCAACTAAGTTAAAATCAAAGATTGGCAGCAACTCTTTCTAGCCAACTGTGTCTTGGTGCTGGAATTTAAGAAGGATATAGTTCAACAACTGTAAAAATATCTTTTGGTCTTGAAAAGAAACATCTTTTTAGAGACATAGAGAAAATGCTTCATTCCATTTTAATTACCTTACTCTTCATCTTTATTATTTTAATAACATTTTCTTCAATTAAAAAAATCATCATCTTACATCTACATAAAATTATCCGGCTCTTATAAACACATAAAGCCTGGTAAACAAAACGAAAATTACTTCTAATCCCACCATTTGATGGTAACAACTGGTAGCATTTTGAGGTATAGTCTCCTGGTTAGTTGTGTGTTTATGTGTGCATGTGTGTACACATGTGCACATGAGTATGTGATTTTACAAAATCAAACCTGTATTTTAAAATATGCCTTTTACACTTATCCATATATTATGAACTTTTTTTTCATATCACTATTATTCTGTGGTATCATTTTAAGTAGCTTTACAATACTCTAAATTTTTTTTTATGTTTTATTTATTTCAGAGAGAGAGAGAGAGAGAGACAGCATGAGCAGGGGAGGGTCAGAAAGAGAGGGAGATACAGAATCTGAAGCAGGCTCCAGGCTCTGAGCTAGCAGTCAGTACAGAGCCGGACGTGGGGCTCGAACCCACGAACCGTGAGATCATGACCTGACCTGAAGTCAGACGCTTAACCGACTGAGCCACGCAGGCACCCCTACAATATTTACTTTAATCATTTTATTGTTCTACGTGTTTTGAAGTATAAATAACATGCGATTAATATCCAGTCCAAAAATCTTAGAAAATGTCTTTAATTTTCTCAGAGGAGTTTGTGATTAAAAGAGTATGCACTAAGACTTTGGATACATGTTGTCATTTTGTCCTCTTAGAAAGTAAGAAATACTTATACCTTTGATCGGTAATAGATTAAGCCCCTCATTTCCTTGCATGATAATGGGCACACTTAGTTTCAATAATTGCCACTGTGGCAAAATACACTATTTTGTTACTTAAATTTAAATCTTCTATTAAGAAGGATAAGAATTCATCTGTTATTCAGTCATGTTTTTCTTTTCTGAATTGTCTGCTCATTATTTATGACATTTTATTGAACATATTTTTAGGTCCTTATTTTTGTTGTTTTATTGCTGATTTGTAGGTGCTCTATAACCAAAGAAAATATTTTTCCTTGCCATGAATTTTTTTACATTACTGCTTGTGTGTGTGTGTTTTCCACTTCTAATTTTTAAATTATGTTTTAATTTTAATTCAGTTTTTAACTTTGTTGAAGGCATTTTTGACATTAAGAAGTTTGCTTTTTAGGTAGTCAAATCTATCAGTATTGTATTTTATTGGTTCTATCCATAAAATATTTACTTATTTGTAACTTTTATGCCCCAAGATCAGAAAAATATTGATAATTTTTTCCAATATTTTGTTATATTCAGTTCTTGAATCCGTCTTGAATCTTCTCTGTTATGAAGAAAGACATTAACACCCTCCTTTCATATTTAGCATAACACTTAAATAATTCACTATTATTTGGCATGAGACCCTTTCATGTATTTTCAAATACATACCATGTTTTGTATGTATTTGAATTTGTTTCTAAACTTCATATTTTGTTCTATTCATCTTTTTATTCTTAGACTTCCCCCACAGTTTTAGTTATTCTCTCTGCTTGTTACGACTTTCATCTTCATTTTATTATTTAAAACTTTTTTCTTGGATACTTTGATAGTTCACCTCTCCAGGGTATATTTTAGAATAATTTTGTCAAATCAAATATAAAAATATAATGTCCCATTGGTATTTCGATTAAAATTGCAATTGCATTTAATGTGCTAATCTTAGGTGATCTGACATCTTTTCAGTATTTAGTCTTAGGCTCTTTATTCATGAAGTGACCTTATCCTTTACAATCACTGAGGTTGTATCAGATATTTATAATTAATTCACCACAGGGTGTAGATGTCATACATTCTATATTTGCCCCACAGTTTGCCTTAGACGCGGCCTAAACATTGGCATTAGGCAGTGGTGTGGCCGGTTTGCAAGGGCTAAAGTATCTACCCTGGGCTTACATCATACGCACGCATGCACACACGCACCTGCCGGCCCCCATGCCTACGGAGCTTTGCTTTCAAGCCCCGGACTTGAAGTTGATTAAGCAAGGAGGAGGAGGAAGAGATATTTGGTCAAGAACAGGAGAGAGCAGGTGTTTTGTTGTTGTTGTTGTTGTTGTTGTTGTTTTACAAATAGTTTATTGTCAAATTGGTTTCCATATAACACTCAGTGCTCATCCCCACAAGTGCCCTCCTCCATGCCCATCACCCCCCTCCCCCCTACTTCTATCAGTCCTCAGTTTGTTTCTCAGCATTCAAGAGTCTCTCATGGTTTGCCTCTCTCCCTTTCCCCCACCATTTCCCCCCTTCTTCTCCCCCTTGTTCCTCCGTCAAGTTCCTCCTAATCCTCCTATACGTGCAAACATATGATATTTGTCCTTCTCTGCCTGACTTATTTCACTCAGCATAACACCCTCAAGGTCCATCCATGTTGCTACCCATGGCCAGATTTCATTGTTTCTCATTGCCATGTAGTATTCCATGGTATAGATAAACCACATCTTCTTGATCCATTCGTCCGTTGATGGACACTTAGGCTCTTTCCATGTTTTAGCTATTGTGGAGAGTGCTGCTATGAACATTGGGGTCCATGTGCTCCTATGCCTCAGCATTTCTGTATCCCTTGGGTAAATTCCTAGCAGTGCTATTGCTGGGTCATAGGGGAGTTCTATTGTTAGTTTCCTGAGGAACCTCCACACTGTTTTCCAGAGGGGCTGTACCAGTTTACATTCCCACCAACAGTGTAGGAGGGTGCCCGTTTCTCCACATCCTCGCCAGCATCTAGAGTTCTCTGATTTGCTCATTTTAGCCACTCTGACTGGCGTGAGGTGGTATCTCAGTGTGGTTTTGATTTGTATTTCCCTGATGAGGAGGGATGCTGAGCATCGTTTCATGTGTCTGTTGGCCATCTGGATGTCCTCTTTGGAGAAGTGTCTGTTCATGTCTTCTGCCCATTTCTTCACTGGGTTGTTTGTTTTTCGGGCGTGTAGTTTGGTGAGTTCCTTATAGATTCTGGATATTAACCCTTTATCTGATATGTCATTTGCAACTATCTTTTCCCATTCCGTTGGTTGCCTATTAATTTTCTGGGTTGTTTCCTTGGCTGTGCAGAAGCTTTTAATCTTGATGAGGTCCCAACAGTTTATTTTTGCTCTTGATTCCCTTGCTTTTGGGGATGTGTCAAGTAAGAAGTTGCTGCGGTGGAGGTCAAGGAGGTTGTTTCCTGCTTTCTCCTCTAGGGTGTTGATAGTTTCCTGTCTCACGTTCAGGTCCTTTATCCATTTTGAGTTGATTTTTGTGCATGGTGTGAGAAAATGATCTAGTTTC